AGTCTCTGACGAGTTCTCCAAGAAAGTGGAACACTGCCGAAAAAGGCATCCAATACCTACGGGAATTGGTCATGCTGGAGATCATCTATTCTGATCCATTCTATTATGACATCCAAGTTCCCGAGAGTGTTCCCTGCACGCAGTCCATGTAGAAAAAGGTAATTAAAGGTGCCCCTAAATCATATACCTACTGCTTGATAACTGCATATCATCCAAAGATAGATGAACCAAGCATGGACACCATGTGTTCTTGGATAAGGAGCATAGAGGAAAATCTGGAAGACTCCTCCGATCCCCTATACTGACCCACCTACGATAGGGAAAGAATGGAGAGAGATTATGAATACTCCAGATATGAGGATGATCCTAGAGACAGAGATAACAGAAGGTATAGAGATTACAGAGAAAGGTCAATGGAACGATCATGGCGCAATCAACGAAGACGACCTCGACCTCGACCTCGATCCTGGTCTCGATCTTGCTCACGATCTCCGTCATTTACACATCGAAGGCAAGAAAACCCTTTTGTTCGAGCTTCTTTTGTTTTTTTTTCCTGTGATTTGGTTTTTTCCCTCGCTTGGGGAGAGTGGGAGGGGGGAGGAGACAGCCTGGACTTGGCGGGAGAACCAGGTCAAACTGATACACACATTCTTATTGGCATCGAACCTGTGACCTTGGTGTTATCAGCACCAAGCACTAACCAACTGAGTTAACCGGCTCTTTTAATCTGTTTTCTTCTTTTACTCTTTTCCTTCTCTTGTGAGTAACTTAAAACCAATGAATTGTGTTTTACTAAAACTGGTGTATTGATTGTTTGTGATGGGTGGGTTTTTTTCCATGGAATGAGTTTTTGTGCTGTTTTAGTAAAATATTTTTTCTTGGTTGTAAAACCTTTTGCCAAAATATTTTATTTTTTCTCACTAAATTAAAAGAATTTCTCTTAGAGAAGAGTGTGTGACTCTTTCTCCGGACACAAATTCGAGGTTATAAGAAACCAAAAGGCTTTTAAAAAGTCTTAAATAAAATGCAACCGCTCTGGGCAGCTTATGGTTTATAATCTGGAGTGAAACACACACCTCCTACATGTCCCCCTTTACATGGTCATTAGGGGCTTTGAGGGTCCCCAACATTTTCAAAATTGAGGTTACTGCATATTTATCCCTTGCTGCTAATTGGTCTCTGTGTTCTGGGCACAGTATTATCTTATGCTGGGTAACTCACCACAGTCCTTTTTTCTAAAGGACTAAACAACAAAACCCCAAACAGTAGACCAACTTCATCATGCTTTAAGGGAGAAAGTTCTATCCTACATAGCTCTACTGCTTGTGTTTTATGTAGAGGTACTACTGTAAAATGGTACCTTCTCTGAGGATATTTCTGCTGTTGGGGAGATCCTGTTCCATACATAAAACACACTTGAAAAAGCCATTTCATATCTGTAAATACATCAAAATTAACCCTTTTATTGAGGCATCTATGGTGAGGAAGAGAGACACACCTTGCTGAAATACTTATCCTAAGTTATTCATTCATGGAGCAAACTTCCACCTTCCCAATATTCTTACAGGGCCTTCTTCAGCAATACAAGACCCCACACCTGCCATTTGTCCAGCTGTAAGAAGTAACAGCATGCCATGGAAAATTTTCCATCTACTTTGTCATGGTTTTTTTCCATTATGGAAAGAAGAAAAATAAAAAGCAGATGTAGTTTTTGGTAGCAGCACAAACCCAGCTCTCAGCAAAAAGAAGCTTGGTCAATTTGAATCATAAACCTTGGAAAACAAGGACTGACAAACATCTCGTAATCTAAAGAAGCTGGACCCTTGTCCTAAGACTCATTGATGTACAACCCTGGGATTTAGCTGGCACCAGCAGAATTAAAAAAAGGACTTTTTGAGATGATTGTTAAGACCATGTCTGAACCCCTGTAATCCTTCCTTCCCCCATGTAATCCTGCTTGAAGAAAAATTAACTATTTGGAAACTGCAGTAAAAACTTGTGTAACTCCCTAATTAACATAGCTTGTCCCCCTCATTAACATGTCCAGCCCCCGAGGTCCTTAAAATGTGTTCTCATGTTCAATAAAAGATTCCAGTTATACCCCATACTGGAATTGTGTTAGTTTTGTTTTTTAGACCTCCACTGCTTTTAGGTCTGAATTCAAACAAAAAAAGCTAAAGACAATGCCTGAAGTTTAAATCTATTCCTTTGCATTTCCTGTACAGCAAAGCATATAAAAAAAGTTACATTAACTTAATGCAAAAGGAAATAATGAAACCAAAGAGAAAACTTTACAAGCACAAGTTTGCCATGTATTTGCCACACATACTTTATACTGAAACTCTATCTTCATTCTCTTTTGTCTGATTTATGAATATAAGTACACTAACTATACCACACATTGAAAACCTCATGGCATTTATTAAGTGAGCCAATTATTTATATATTCAAGAAGGGGATAATCAATAACAATCAAGAAGGAAGCTCATCTATTATCCTACAGAGTAAAATATGCTTTGTATATCAGTCTGAAGTGACAAACCTGCTTCTGAATCATTGTGAATTAAAAAAAAATTAGAGCTGAAATAAATTGCCTGTGAAGCTTCAATATTTAGGTTTAGAATATATGTTTATCAAAAACACATTTTCCAAGGGTCAAATACCAGCAAGGTCTTGGAATGTAGTCAGGACTTCTGAATTTCATTACATCATTATACACCACAACCAACCTAATCATCTGACAGTTCATTAACCTTACAGCAACTGGTTAAAAACACCACATGAAGCTTGTTGTTCTTTCTCCAAATTTCAGGTTTAAGTTTGCACAGAATCCTATGGAACCCACTATTGTGCTGCCATAATCCTAGTTAGAGATTTAAGAGACAAGGATAAGTAGTTCTTAGTCACCTAGCTACTTTTGTTTACTCATTTGTTTATATGTTCTTTCTCATACCCTAACTAAAAAGTTCTCCTCATTTGGTAAACTTGTCAGGAACACAGGCAGATTCTTCCTATAACATCATACTTATGTACAAGTTAAACACATATAATTTTAACAGCCAAATGTTTAATAAGGACTAGTATAATGTTAAGTGTCCAAATGCTTCTTGAACTCTGGCAGGCTTGGTTCTGTGACCACTTCCCTGGGGAGTCTGTTCCAGTGCCCAATTACTCTCTGGGTGAAGAACCTTTTCCTGATATCTAACCTAAACCTCCCTGACACAGCTTCATGCCATTCCCTCAGGTCCTGTCACTGATCACCACAGAGAAGAGATGGGTGTCTGCCCCTTTGCTTCCCCTCATGAGGAAGCTATAGACCACTATGAGGTCTCCCCTCAGTCTCCTCCAGGTTGAACAAGCCAAGTGACCTCAGTCATTCCTTGTATGGCTTCCCCTCCAGACTCTTCACCATCCTCATGACTCTCCTTTGGACACTCTCTAATAGCTTTGTATCTTTTCTATATTGTGGTGCCCAAAACTGCACACAGTACTCGAGGTGAGGTTGCACCAGCACAGAGCAGAGCAGGACAGTCACCTCCCTTGACTAGTTGGTGATGCTGTGCCTGATGCACCCCAGGACAAATTTGGCCCTCCTTGGCTGCCAGGGCACACTGCAGATTCATATTCAACTTGCCATCATCCAGGACCCACAGGTCCCTTTCTGCGGCACTGTTCTCCATCCTCTCATTCAGCGGTCTGTACGTATATCCAGAGTTGCCCCATCCCAGGTGCAGAATCCAGCACTTGCCCTTGTTAAACTTCATATGGTTGGTGATTGCCCAGCCTGCTCATTTGTCGAGGTCTTTCTGCAGGGCCTCTCTGCCCTCGAGGGAGTCAACAGCTCCTCCCAGTTTAGTATCATTGGCAAACTTACTTAGTATCCCTTCGAGTTCTGCATCCAGGTAATTTATGAAGGTGTTGAAGAACACTGGGTCTAAGATGGAGCCCTGCAGAACCCCACTAGTGACAGGTTGCCAGTCTGATGTCACCCCATTCACTATTACCCTCTGTACTTGGCCCATGAGCCAGTTGCTCATCCATCACATGACATGTTTATCCAGCTGTGTGCTGGACAGTTTGTCCAGAAGGATCCTGTGAGAGACATTATCGAAAGTTTTGCTAAAATCCATAAAGATTACATCAACTGGTTTCCTTTGATCAACTAGGTGGGTTACCTTGTCATAACCATTTGTCAATTTAGATTTAAGGATCAAACAACCAAAATCCAAAGTGTTCTGCACCAATATTCATATTCTTTTTGCCAAGGGATATTTACCACACTGTTTGCACCAAAATATAAAGATCCATTTATCACACTTTGTCAATACCCACTCTTATTTACCAACCTTTCCCCTCTTTGAAAGTTTAATAAGCCTCAATGGAATTAGTGCTCTTGAATGATTATAGACCTTATGATGCCTTTGAATTTTTAGGATTTTTAGCTTTTTGTAGATTTTAATGTAGTTGTATAGTCTCTCACACTTTAGAATATTAGTTAACACTGACCAAACCTTATTCTCCCATTTCATATAGAATCTTCCAAATTCTATAGGCTTGTTTAGGCTCCTTTTTAAGGTAGAACTGTAGTAAACACCTTCTGTTTAAGAACATTTGCACTCCAGGCCTGAACCACAAGATACCATCATAGTCAAAGCAACCTTCAAGCCCGGAACCTTGGAGAAGCTCCAAAGACAGTACGTGCGGTGAAGAAGAGGAAGATGAGGAAGAAAGGGGTCTTGGGACCCCCGACTCAATTTCTGGGGAGGCATGTTCTCTTAGTTTAACAAGATTACAATGTAGAAATTAAGAAACTTCAGGTGAAAGTGTGGAAAAGGAAGAAAAACCCAGTTTTTTAGTAACAAAATCTGAATAAACCACAAAGGGTACAATCAAAAACTTTCAGAAGAAACAAAAAAAGTCCCAATTCTCCAGGTGGGGGGAAGAAACCCGTGGCATCCCGGGGGGGGGGGGGGAAGGAGGGGGGAAGGTAGGACTGTCCCGGCAGTTCAACAGCTGCTTGTAGCCACGTGCGCCCGCAGCAGTCAGCAGCCGATGGCATCACAGTCAACAATAAAGGAGTCCTTTCTCCCACAGGTAGTCCCAAAAATCGAATACCTCGCTCTGAGATGGGTTGGTCTCTCTCTCTCAGTCGTCCTCTGTGAGGTGTCCCGTGAGGGGAAAAAAAACTTCCTCTCAGGAAAAGAAAAGGAGGCAGTTGAAACTGGGCTCTCCACTCTGTCCGGTCCGTGGACCAAACCCAAAAGCCCCCGAAAAAAAAGACTCCCCAACTCCCCCATCTGTCCCTGCGGCAATCGTGTTTCCTGAAAGCACTCCCCCTCCCCCTGCTCCCACTCTGTCCAGCGCATGTGGTTTTGCGTCATCCCCCCCCCATACTGGAAGAAACAGATTGGGGGGGGAGCATTGGGAAAAAATTCCAACATCTCTTTTCAAACCTATGACACGTGCCCGGGGGGCATATCTGGGGGTGGGTGGTTCTTGGATCGGACCATAAATTGTGGAATCCCTGGACACGGGGGCATGTGCCTTGTTTGTACTCCTGTGGCCAGAGGGCCTTCGTTAAAGACCTGTTCTATTATCTCTACTAAATTTGCCTGGTGAGTCTTTTTTTTGGCTCCCGATTTCTAGGCAACAACAGAATAAAGCTGTCTCAGTTTAATGAGACTGAAGTGTTTTGCTAAGGAGAATGAGTTATGAGGAAGACCAAACTCCTCCCTCTAAGCAATTGTAAATTCGAAATTAAGAGGTTCCAATTAAGGAAGTATGGAGAAAGAAAACAGTCCTTTATTAAAGGATATATGTGTATTGGCAGAACAACAAAAAAACATCAAAACAACTAAACAATAATCCTGTACCCAAAAATCCCCTTCAAAAAGGGAACAGTTCAGTACTTTTTGCTTTTTGGTGCAATTCTAACCATGATCAGCAGGGAGTGCTGTTGGATCTCTGGAGGAGTAGAGCCTGCAGTTGTTCTGTGGTGGCCGGCAGGGGGCGCTGTTGGGCTCTGGCAGTCTGTGGGCCCTGGTACGCGGGAGAAGTCGAAAATGGAGATCTTCCCCACCACCACCGAGAAGGGGAAGGGGAAAAGGGGAAAAAGGGGGTTCTTCCCACTAGATTCACGCTGTCTGCAGCTGACTGTGGCCAGGAATTCCCCCCTTTTGTTGATGGGCACAAGCTGCTGCCAACACAGGAGCGGAGGAGAGAAAAGGCAACCTCTTCCCCAAAAGGTTCCTCTGCAGGTGGGTCAAGCCTCTACGATGAAGTCCGAGCAGGTCTGGGCTGGGGACAGAACAGGGTGCAGGAAAGCGGAGGCAAACCGGGGCCAGAAGCACCCAGGTGACCAGGTCAAAAACAAAGTGAACCTCAGACCCCTCCAACACACACCTTGCCTGAGTTAGGACAAAAGTGAAGTGCCTCCCATTTCTGAGGAGAGGACAAAAACTCATCACCCCTCCCCACAGTCTTCGGAGGGCCATCAGCTTGGAATGTGGATCTGCTGGTTAGTTCTTCTGTGTGGGTCAATCACCCAAGGCAAACCACCCACTTCCATTCAACATCTCTCTTTTACAATGATGCAGGGGAAAGAAAAAAAAGAATTCACCCTTGGTTTTTTTAGAACAAGTAAACCTATGACAAAAGCTTAGTTTTGAATACAGGTTCACATCCCACCTGTCAAGAATTTACATGATACAGTTAATGATTTTATTGAACAATGAGAGATTTCTCATTCCATACTTTCCTCCTCAGATCTACTGAGTTAAATTAAACAAGTCTTTGTCCAGATTAAAAAATTAAATGAATGCGAGGGAGACCATCAGAATCATTAAGTACTAGTCAACATCATCATCATCATCATCATCATCATCATCACAGCTAGGCTTCGCAAACGAAGATTTGGGGAGGGCTCTACCCACATTTGTTACAACCACGCTGGTGGTTAAAAAGGTCAATACGAGATAGGCACGTCCGGTTGCAAAAAGACAGCAGAAAGACTCCTTATGTGGTATATTCTGCAAGACACAATTCTTTCTGCATTGTCTTTTCTCCTCAAGAGTGATCCTGTGTGCTTTCTCAAAAGCAGCAGCAGTGTTATAGATGGTGTGTCTCCAGACCTCCCGATTGGAGGTCAGAGTAGACCAGTTATGATGATCAATATGGGTGAGGTTGAGATGTTGTTTCAGGGAGTCCTTGTATCTTCTCTTCGGGGTTCCTCTCTTGCGGCAGTCAGTGGCAAGTTCACCATAAAGTACGATCTTAGGGAGGCGGTGGTCCTTCATCCTTGAGACATGTCCTGCCCAGCGCAGCTGTGTTCTCAGCAACATGGCCTCGATACTTGTGACTGTTGCTTGTTCTAGAACAGACGTATTAGTCACATAATCTGACCAGTGGATGTTTAGGATTGTACGGAGTCAGCGTTGATGGAAGCGTTCTAAGAGTCGCAGGTGGTGGTGGTAGATGACCCATGATTTGGATCCATATAAAAGAGTAGACAGCACAATGGCTCTGTAAACACTGATCTTGGTACTTTTCTTCAAGTGTTTATTTCACCAAACTCTTTTATGAAGCTTTCCAAAGGCACTATATGCCTTTGCTAACCTGTTGTCTATCTCCCCGTCAATCTTACCATCCGAGGAGATGAGGTTACCTAGGTAATTAAACTGCTGGACTGATTTGAGCTCTGATTCGCCAATGGTGATATGGGGATGATGGAAGAATTCCTGAGGTGCTGGTTGATAGAGAACTTCAGTCTTCTTTAAGTTGACTTCCAGCCCAAAAATTAAACAAGCCTTTGTCCAGATTAAAAAAGTAAATGAATGCGAGGGAGACCATCAGAATCATTAAGTACTAGTATCAAATAAACAAACAAAAAAACCCACCTGCAAACTGAACAAGCTTTTTATGATGCAATTGCATTGATTTTACTTTAATACAAAAAGGTGGAAAAATTATAATTTTGATGCTATAAAACAGTTCCACAAATAAAAATATAAAATTCATCCTGGCACATGAAGGCCTAGAACATGCCCTTGTTCCCTTATCAGAAGCATATATAGTGGCAGCAGTAATAACTTATCTCTTGAGTGAAAGTACTAGTTGACTGATGGGATGCACATTATACATTTCTGATATTAACTATTATTATGTATTAGTCAGCAGTGAAGATAGCTTCTTTCAAGTCAGTATGTGTTGTGTACTTTTGTTTCTCCTTGGGAAAGGTACGTCTGGCATATGTGAAATTCATATTTGGATACAGACCCTGACAACTCTTCCCAGGCCTTCTGAGGAAGATTTTAACAAAACAATGTAGTCAATATACTGACTGTATTAGAACAGATCAACTGGAAATAACTTCTGTAACTAAAAGAAGAAAAAAACAACCCAATACCCATGAAAGAACACAAACATTTAAAGTTCACTGTTAATATTTCCTTCGTTCCCTTTTAAGCACATTGTTGTTTGCTGACATCTTTTTCTGGTCATCAAGTAGTTACCAGTATTCCAGTTGTTCATGCTTCGCTTTTCTCAACAAGTCATCTTAAAAAAGTCGGTATGTCAAAATAAGAAATAGGAGGAGGTTAGAAAGGTTTAAAAAAAAAAATCTATACAAACCTAGTACTAGCTTTGTACCCCAACCTCCACAGGGCCACTTGTAAGTTACAGCAATAAACCAATGAACTACCACAAAAAGCATTTCCTTCTGTACATGATTTTTATTATTTACATAATACAACAGAGCATAGATGTTGGATAATGTGATTATGTGCAATATCTAAGTATGAACTATCTGCACATGCTTGCATATCTGATAACTAAATTGAAAGAACAAAGGTAAAGCAAAAGCTTGATGCTTTTAATAGTGAACTAAAAAACTAAGATTGAACACTGCAATAAAAATCATAAGTAGCATCTTGTGCACATACACAACTATTTACACATGAGAAGAGGCATTACAACACTCATCTACACTATACTTGATTATATAAAAAAAACCCACAAGTTTCATACATCACAAAAACCCCTTCCATTATAACACAGAAGTGATATTACCAGACAAGCATCAGTAAACTCTACTGTCCTTTCTAGTTATTATACAAAGCTGTAGATAATGGAGTCCATGCAATACACCCAAGAACACTACAGTCCTACACCCAAATACAATTAAAAATTATAAACCAGCCCTCCAAGAGTGGTTCCAGCTCCCACTTAAGACTACAGGAGTCACGTTGGGTATGATTTCCATAGCCAACAACTGTTACATTTAAAACTTTTAATTGAAAAAAAGCTCCCAATATTATTTTGAACCCAGAACACACTGAATTTAAGAAGTACATGAATAATAAACTGCTCAAATACTTCTGCAACTTACACAGATGCATGTGTCACTTGATAGAGTTGTTGTGGTATGTCTAAAAATCCCACACATAGTTTTTCTTTTGTAAGTTAGTCCTGGCACGATATTGTGCTACGCGATGTTATTAGCTATGCAAGGAAAAGCAGACAAGTGTTGCAGGCCAGTTCTTAAGTTTCTAACAGGACATTTCCTTTGGGAAATTATTTTCATTTTCAAGATTCTAAAGTTAATGTTATCTGTTCCAAAATAGATTTCTTCTTACACATCTCTTTTTTCCCCCCATTTTTCTCATTGCAATTGCTAAATGACTTTTTTATTAAATATGACACCAACACTCATCTTACTGGGTGGTAGAGCCTTCTACATGTCTTATATTCTGCTGGAAAACAATGATGTGTGGAAACTAAAAGTAGAATAAGATTTTAAATGGATAGAAGTAGACTGTCAGTCTTTCTGGTAAATCCTTCTCCCAAACAGGCACAGTCTTTGGATAGTGATATACACCTTGAACAGCTCAAAAGGCAGATCTGCTGCAAACACGAAGTATACATCTGTTTGGCACATGTGAACTAGAGCCTGTCTTCTGCTGGGATATCTGCTGGGATATCTGCTGGGAGCTCAATACTGCAGAGAAGAGGCAGTCTAG